AGAAAATAGTACCTTTTTGAGAAAAAAAATATGAAATTTTGTAAAAACATTCTTTGGTTTTCAGCTGTTGAGTCATGTCCTACTGTCAAAGGTTCATGAACTCTTTTGTTGCATGTATATGAATAAAAACTCTCATATGCCAAAACTCGGATGTGCAGTGAATATTAAACGCGTAAGACACTTGAACGCATCCAACGACAAGGTTTTCAAGAAAAGACTTGTTGATAAAAATCAAGACAGTTAAATCTTATCTCAGTTGTTATCAATCTCGTATTTTATATCACCGATATAAGCCTATCGCAAATTAGTGCTAGTCAATTTAAAGACAAACAAAAAAATAAATAGTAACTGATTAAACAGATTTTTTTTTCTCGTCCCTGTCAAGTGAAAACATACGTAGCTTTGATGCTAATATTTTATGTTATTATTATTTTTTTAATTGTATCAGATATCTTTTGTTTCAATTTGAATATGAAAATAAATTCAAACAGGAAGAAATGACTCGTTTTTATTTAAATTTATTTAGACTTAAAAAAAAGTTTAATCTGTTAATTATTATAAATATTTAAAGGATATCAGATTGATAAATAAAATAGATAGGGTCTTTCTCTTATTTGTTTAGATTTTCATTATCGCTTAACTATTTACGTATTGCGGATCAGGCTAGTTTTCCTTAAACTATTTCCTTGTCGAAAATTTTAGATTTATTTACCACATATATAAAACAATTTTATTTAAATTATTGTTTTATAAATAATTTTATATTTATGAGGTTATTTTATTTTATTATGAGATTATTTTATATTATATTTATAATTTTAAATTTATTACATGTCTTATTGGAAATTTATAATACGAATGTATAAAACAACATAGACAAAATAAATTATTAAACTAATTTTACACAAAACGTAAATATGAAACAAATCAATTAAGAAAAGGAAAAGTAATAAAGAATTTGCACTAAATTAAATTAATACTTATAATGTAAATAAATAAAATATAACTAGCAGAAAAGATATCAGGATCCTAAATCAGATATTCATATTTTTTGTTGAATTCTTACATTAAATATGGAAAATATTCAGTTGTTATGTATGTTATTTTCCTTATTACTAATCTGTTGAATAAATATTATTTATTAATGGTATAAAAACCTGTGTTCGTTTAAACGAACATGCACTTATAAAACAAAGCAGTTAATTTGATTCATTTTATTTGTTATTAACATATTTTAAAACATTTTCGAGACATGATTATCAACTTACATAAGTACTTGTTTATAACGATTACTTTCATTGATTATAATTATAAAAAGAATTCTGTGTTAATCGTTTTTCAGAAATCAAACTGTCCAGTGTACTTTTTATAAAAACCAGTTTACTTTCAAACGGCGCCTGATTGAGATTTTTAATAAAAATAAAATATCTTTCTCTGATTAGAATTAAAAATAATTTTTATTATTCATTTTAAATATTAATTTAAATTTATATTTTTTAAATTTATTTTAGATGATTTAATTTCGTCATAAAAATAATTTTTTAATTCGGCAATTATAACAGATGGTGCCGTTGAAGCTGGAATCTTTAGGCATTTCACTTTTACTTCTCGTTGGCCTAAATCACGACTTGTTGCAATACTTTGTGGCATGAAGAAATCTGATTGCAAATGCCTTCCGAATGACAAAAAATATAAAGGAAAATATTAAATAATTTATCTAAACCTCAGACATTTTATTATTATATTTAATAATAATATTTTTATTTATTTATTATTATGTATTGCAAAAAGTAATACTTCATTCACTGATATTAGCGCGTTCAAAAAAGCAAAGTATTTTATATGTTATGGCTGATACACTATTTTAGCAATTAAATTTGAAATAAATTAATTAAATCTTTGGAGGTAATATTGACTCACTTTTATGATACATTAGTACCTTAGAGTTCTTGATTTTTTTTTCAAAAATATTTTATGATATGGAGATATGGTAAGAATTAAGTATGTGATACAAATTGTAATCTCTTTGTATCAGTCATGTAATTACCAACATATTATAGTTATGTAATTAACGAAATCCTGACTCCAAAATTACCTTAATAGTAAAAATCTGTATTACAACTGTATGATTGCATTTCTTATTATTTTTCATGTTGTAAATTATTACTAATTCCATCGAAGGATTCCATCAATCAATTAAATTCATCACCGTCGAGTTTAGGAGCGACCAGTTGGATTTCAACGGAAAGTTAATAATCCTGGAAGGTCACAAAATATATGAAAAATAATAAATACCTGTATAAAGAAACATTTAACTAAAAAATTTACCTAGTAATAAAATAAATATAATGTAAACTGAATATAAATGTGTAAGTAAATTGAGAAATAATAACATCGATATTTTAATGAAGTTACATACAACAGATGCATCGACCGCAAAATCGATGGAATCGCTGAGCTCTCCGTGATTCGGTTGCATAAAGGAACGCTCTGAGTTTTAACAATGACCTCATTGATAAATTTAAGAACTTGTCCTATTTATCGATCGGGGTAATAATTATTTTATGGGCATTTATTGACAATGTTCTTGTTTTATATTCTTCGCCATTGTTTTCTACGATAAATTTAAAGTATAACTGCTCATATCATTTTTTTAAATTGAATATAAAATTGTGGTATTTAATATTAATAATTATGTTATTATATTATATCATTTAACTTGTAATGAAATTATTATTGATAAAAATATTATGTATAACGGCCTCCTTTTATTTTGACAAACAACCATTTCCAGTTAGAGCCATTAAGTAAACCCAGATTTTCTCTCATCTTTCCACTTTGCCTGTGTAAAGTTACTCGAGGAACCTTTTGTAGGACTTATCCTTACAAATGGAAAGTATTTTGAGACTATTGACAAAGAGAAAAGACATCGGCCGCTTTCAGAAAACGTGGTTTCGAGTTAACCTCTTATTATTCAGTTCAGCAATTCATCTAAGTGAGAAGTAATCCAACTCTTTGATCGAAGGACTATTTTTATTTCAGATCAATCTATTTTTATAGAGACATTCAATGTTTAATGAACCATGAATGTTGTAAATATGCCTCTAAAAAGCCTTTTATACCCTTTGTTAGTTACTTATTGTTTATAATACTTATTTTTTGACCTGGCACTTTCCGACATCTTGCCCAAACGGATCTACTTTGTCCTTTCAGCAATCACGCTACACCACCTACGTCGCCATGTCATAACATTTGGCTAATAACTTCTCCACTTATACAGAGCCTATTTACGAAATTGGGGGTAATTATCTTTTACAGCACCGTCATTACGTTGTTATTAAAGCCCTCATTACGACGGATTGGTCTTTTCGTCCAAGGAAAAAATGAAATACTAAAGAGGTAGAGGATAGTATAAATCTGAAAGGGAATCTTACTTGTTTCACAATGTTTGGCGCCCGCAGATGTTTGCAAATGCAATTGTTTTTTACATCACGAGACTCGAACGTGATGAAGTATTTACCCATCTTCTTTTCTACTGCCTTGAGTTATTTCTATGTGCTCTTCTAAAAGCAGAAATTATATAACCGATTTGACAATGAACGTGGGTAGCTATCACTAAATAAATTAAAAATGTGTATAAATATAGATAAAAAGATGAGGTGTCCATTTGATGAGGATTATAAATAAATAATTTAGAGGTTGCCGAACGTTTTTCGGCGCCACTAGTCCATTCTCGTGTCAGAAGAGGTGTCGATTCGAATCTGGCCTAGGCGGACTAAAACCCGTCGTGGATCCACGGGATTGACATATGGTTTCATTCATATCAGCCATTATGAATAAGGACTCGTCCTTCCTACTCTAGTACATAAGGATGTTAAAACCGAAAATAACCCAACAAAGTCATGTAACGTGTCGATGATATTTCAGAATATTTAATTCTGCGGACACTCTGCACTTACTTCACGGTATCCGTCAAAATAACATAATGAATACGCCCAACACAGTTAGTTTCTTTTTCTTTTTTTTTTTTTTGGCTTATTTTCAATGTTTTTTTAGAAAATTAAAATACGTAATATGATCCCTGGTGCCTGGGTCTGCTTGCTCAGTACTTATTTTCCCCTAAAAAAAAATATGTACATTATTCTTCAGAATTATTTGCCATAATAATACTTATACCGACTTTATCATTGAACATAATTCAACGGATTACTTACGGATAACGTGTGATATATTGTGTGCTAAATTATATTTTAAAATATTTTAGACTGATGATAATGCCTACCATATTCTAACATTTTGTTTTTAGAACCATTATTTTTTGAATATTTTTGTATTATTGTTTAGCTGTGTATCAACCAAATCTTAGAAAGAATTCGTTGGTAACTGTTCGTTTCCTTCTGGGAAAGCAAAATATTTTTTATTTTAATCTTATATTTATTTTACTGTATCTATTTCATACTTTCAAAAATACCAGAGTCCATTTGGACGGCAAAAAAACCCAGATAAATCGAATCAACAAAGATGCAATAAATAGAGGTGCATGCAGAAAACTGGAGGAAAAAGGTCCAAGATTGGCAGAGATGAAGAAAGCTGATAAGTCAAGCAAAAGATCTAGGAGATTTATAATGCCAAGAGAGAAAAAAGCCAAAGAGAACATTGATCTAATAATGCAGCCAAATAAATACGTAAAAGGAATAAAAGCTGTTACAGGAATACAGCACCGCGTAACCTGATAGAAGGTATAAAAAAAATAATTATGAGTTCGGGGTCCGGAGCAAGGGGTCTTTTAACTCTGCCCTCACCTCTGGTCTCGGAAAACCTCGTATAGCATAAAGGAGTGAAAGGTGAGGATAGAAAAAAAAGTAATGAAAGCTGTTTGAATCTCGTAAGATGAATAACTTTTTTCTCGGAAATATAGCGTTTGAACTATTTAAATACGACTGCATGATGAATTATTCCAATGCGAACCTAAAGACTTTTATGTTTTTTTAGAAAGCTCCAAAAAAAAGATCCGATCTTCAAATCGAAGTTTGATTTAAATGGAAATAGTTGGGGCATCAATGATTTCATCATTAGAAAGTGAAGCTCCCGTGAGCGATGGCGAAAGACGGTAGGAGGGGGGAAGCGATGAAAGTGTTACAGAAGTAGTCCGTAGAGAATGGAAGGATGTGACAGAAGAAAAACGGGAAACCCTGGCGAATTCCACGCCACCGTATAGCAGGTAGAACTGGGCCATCTTCTTCGTTCGGGAACGGCATTCAACTTCTGGTCCCATGGCTTTGTGCTAGATACTGCCTCCGTCGACCTAGTATCTTTTTATCCTAGCTGAAAGTTGGCGGGTGCTCAGTGAGTTTTCACGCCGTTTATATTTTTTGTCCGAAGGCAATTGGAACCCGATGGACAAGTCTGTGTAAAGAAAATTTCTTCAAAATAAACTAATGGTTAGTATAAGAACGATTGTTGATTTTGTTGATTAAGGTACAAGATGGAATGTATTGAAGTTTCTGTTGTACTGTAATCTATACTTACTAATTCCATGGTTTTATTATTGTTAATTCGGGATAAATTTATTGATTGGACTTATGGCACACAAATAAGCTAGGTGCTTAAAAGAAGTGTTGTGAAAATCGGTCTTGGTCTTGCAAAGTGCGAGACCATGACCACGACTGGTAAAAATATAGATTTTTTAAAATAAACATTAAGGCAAAATAGGTGCTTATACTTGACAATCTTAATTATTATATGTTAATAATTGGTATAACCAATATACCTTTGCATTTAACTTCTCTAATTTTTCATTTGGACTTAAGGATTCTCTTATCTAAAAAATTACAATATCTCTATAGTAATAAGCTTATAAGTAACTGCGAGACTCTTGCGCAAGACCAAGATCATGACCAAGACTGAGTTTGCAAGAGCAACACTACTTAAGAGCTTATATTAAAATATGAAAAAAACGCAACATTACACACTGACATTTTCCTTCTCTACGGTAAAAATGCATGCGTTACACCAATCTACCATAAATTATTCCATAGAAAACCTTACGAATAATACTGACCTCAGTGACGTCGCTTCGGATGGATTAGGTGTTTATTATCTCCCGCTCCAATATTTGGAAACCAATTTTTTTAGAAATTTTAGATTAAAGTATCTACTTAAAACTACGAAAAATGAATTTTACTCAAAGATGAACTAAAATTTAATATCTGTAACAATACCCATAAGTTAAAAAAAAATTAGGATTTTATTCGTGCAATGTTGTGAATGAATAAACAAAAAAAATTATAAAACCTACAAAAGCAACAAGTGAGAGAAAAGATCAAATCTAAAAGAGTTCAGATAATTAAAATATTTATTTTCTAAGTAAATACATTATTTACTTTTCAAATTTGAGTTTCGAAAAATTTTGTTGGAACTATTGGGTTTGCAGAGAAATCTTGTTCGTAGTACTGAAATTGATGGAAAATTTTGTTTTTATTATTGATATGGTTGGGAAATGTGATATTCATATTCACTTAATATTTTTCACGTTCATCGAATTAACTTGAATTCTATAAAAATTACTAATTGTTAATTATAGTAGTACAGAAATTCTAGATTCGCCTACATCAATACCTGTTCTAAAATATTTATATTTTCCTCTGAAATGACTTGTTTTGCAGTTTACAAAATTAATCAAATATTTTCCAAGGTACCGAAAACACAACGCTGAGTGGCTAATTTAAAGACACTTTAGGAAGATTTCGGACAGTTACTCTTTTCTATTTTTGGAACGTGTTATTCAACATCTCATGACGTAAGGAATCATTACTCCAGGTTTCATTAGAGCCTGATTCATCAAATAACGTCACATATTTTTTTTTTGTCGCAACTCTTTTATTATCATATGAGGGTTCGGGGAAGCTTTAATCTTTTTATTTTATCCAGCCAGATAATGTTGTTTACCTACTTCAAATTATCCGACGTTATTGCTTGTCTGATTTTGTAATGCCTCTGATATGTTCTTAGCTTTTCTTGTCTAACTGGGTGGCCATCTATAATTTCATCCTCCCCCCCCACCATGTTTATGATAAATTTTATCAATGAATAATGATCTATTCATCCCATCCTAAACTCTTTAAGTGTGAACATAACCATTAGGAGTTAGTGTCAAAACTGGACTATGGAAATAAATCTCATAAATCAAATGTTCCCTACCTCGTAACCTATGATACCCTGTCACTTACCATAAATAATTTCCTAGACATCCAGTTTTATTATACCTAGAACTTTATTATATTATATTCCCTATAAAAGGCCAGAAACTACCTCTGCGTGTATTAGATATTTACAAACAGCTTTGTTACGTAGAGGTTTAAGTTCGCTGCATAATATACACAACTCTGTAAATGTCTTCCCGAAAAATTCCCATAAAAGAAAAATCAAAAAAATCTGTTTTTGCAAAAATCTAGAAAGTTCGGTTTTAGGACTCAACCTGAAATTAACTATACAAACTTATTCAGAATTTTTTTTCTCTTTTTATAATTTTATTTCAACTCCTCAATAATCTTTATTTTATACTTTTTACATATTTATTAAATAAATATTGAGCTTCCCATATTGCTTATTAAATGACCATGTTAAGTGTATTTATAATAATTCGTTTAACATAGTGTTTCTTTTTGAAATAGTCAATCTCATAAATTTTTTTATGAACTATAACTAAGTTACTAACTTGGTAATTTTGCATTAAACTTATTTAATCGCTAATTATGTTCTTAAATGCCTTTTCCTTATTTTATTTTTATTGCTATCACAGCCTCCAAATTATGAAACACTGATCAATGAAAATCAATATGACTATCACGTTATATTTAACAATTATATTTCTTATAAAGAAATTTTGTGCCCTAAGCACATTTTTAATACAATTAAATAATTGTCTATTTCATGTAATGTAAGAAATAAGGAATACTTTTTATATGTCGAGGTTATTATTATTTTAAATGAAAAATCTAGATATGAACACAAAAATATTGAAGACTACCGCTTCATTATTAATATATTAATATATGAGCCCCCCAGTAGAAATGGATTTCTTATGCAAAAATAAATATTAATTTATAAGTGGATGTTTCGTAGCCGATTCGTCATTATTTCTGAAAACAGTGGTAATCACAGATTTTATCACCTGCAAACATCGAAACTAATTGTAACCATGATAAGTGCAATAAAAGTGACGCTTTAGATAACAATATATTATCAAACTGCTATTAAATTAAGTGTTTCTTGATTGTTATCGTGTTTACCCACTTTTGTGGTTGTTAAACTGATTTTTGTTTTTATTTGATCATCGGCTTAGAAGATATCGGCTTTGACTCATATAGCATAATTGCTTAAATTTTTTTTGTCGTTTTAATTTTAATTCTGACATCAGAAAAATGAAATATGAGGATCAGGAAATTTTCTACTTCCTATATAGGTTTTTTTTGTCAACATTATTTCGATTATAATTTTTACAGGAATATTTTTACGATATTTTATTTTATTAATTTTTACTAGAAACTACACTGATAACACTGATAAATTATTTTTCAATACAGTTGATCTAATCATTGAAATTGTAATTAAGCTTATAATTGTTTTAAATCTGAAGTTTTTTATAGTTTCACTTATGTAGATATGTTTACTTTAACAAACAATTTTTTTTTTTTATAAGCCATTCTTTAGGATTTTTTTTTATTTTTTCGTTTTTCATATTTATTGTGTTTTGTAAGCAAAGAATTCAAATTCGAAATGATTAATTCCTGGAAAAGTGTTTATGGAGAGTTTATTTATTTTTTTTTTTTTGGACTACCAAGGATAATTATTTTCACTTTCCACGCCATAATTCCCCTCCCCACCCCCGAAAAATATACAGCCAATCCGAATTCCTTTCATTTTTTTTATTTAAGGAATTAAGAGTTGTTAATATAAGTACATTTACTTACGAGTTCGTGTGTTTTTTAAATTTTTAAACTGTCTAACTACGAAATTGTTTTAGTTTTTTTTTTTGTATTCAATTGTTACAAGTTTCTGAATAAATATACTATCTGCGACATTGAAGTATTTGGACTATAAGTCTTTATTCATACAATATGCATTGGAAAATAATTAAACACAAAATATATATAAAAATGAAATATTAAAAAGTTGAGTAAAAATCAAATAAATGAGTTCGGCGAAACTTCAGGAAATAAAAACAAAATGTATCAAATGGAACAAATCCAACAGAAAGTCTAGACGAGAAGAAGTGATACTATGTGGGCTAAGAATTGGGCACTGTGAGTTTTCCCATGGATATCTCCTGCAAGGATTAGAAGCTCCAACTTGCACACATTGCCTAGTGCCCAGAACAGTAAAATATATATTAGTAGAATGTAGAAGGTACACTAATATAAGGAAAAAATTTGAAATGGGAACGGAAATGAAAGAAATTCTGCAAGATGGGGAGAATGAAATAGAAAAACTGTTCAAATATTTAAAGACTATTCACTTTTATCAGCGAATATAAAATGGAAACATTGAGCCAATGACCCTTAGGGGTATAGGCTAAATCAACAAACTAAAAATAAAATAAGTCTTCTAAAATCAAAATCATACCAATATTGAAGGTTTAAGGAATATTTCTTTTCCTTTCTTGATATTTTTTTTAAATTATAATTGAATTGAAATATCTTTAATCACGTTAGATATTAAAGTAGAGCAGAATTTTTAAGGTTGAAATGTCATGGAAGAAAGTATGTTAATCATTAAATAAAAAGTTTTTTTTGTTAGGTAAATTTGAACTTTGAATGGTTTTAAGTGAAAATTGAAGGTAAAAATGACTTCCGGAGTGTTTCTTTTTAAGAAATAGAACGCGAAACAGTCGATAAAACTAATATCGTGAGACGCCATTGTCAAATGATAGCAAGCTATCCCGAGCAGTCCAAACACAATCTACCAGCACGCACGCAGGACGTCTTGAACTGCTGCTGATCACACCACCTCCCTTCGTGACTAGAACATCAGGGGTGGTTATCTCTGAGTTGGTCCCTGCTTCATATTTAACCACTCCAACCGCTGATTAGTGGAGGATGAATATTCATAGAGTCAATAGCATTTTCAATTAACTTTGTTAATAACTCTTAAATTACTATGCATCGGCTTCACTCTAATCAAAAGCTTAAAATTAACTGAGATAAATATATCGATTTTAAAGAAATAGAATAAAAAGGTCATTATTTGTAAGTGAAGTAAAATATACATAAATAGACATCCATA